GTCCCCCAGATAGTTGCTGTCTTAGTCATCTAGTGCTGCTCTAACAGAAATACCACAAGTGGATGGCTTTAACAAAGAGAAGTTTATTCTCTCAAAGTCCGGTAGGCTGCAAGTCCAAATTCAGGGCTTTGGCTCCAGGGGAACACTTTCTTCGTCGGCTCTGGAGGAAGGTCCTTGTGATGCATCAGTCTTGCTTTGGTCTGGGAGCATCTCTGCGCAGGAACCTCAGGTCTAAAGGATGCGCTGTGCTCCCGGCACTACTTTCTTGGTGGTATGAGGTTCCCATGTGTCTCTGCTCACTTCTGTCTTTTATATCTCAAAAGAGATTGGCTTAAGACACTATCCAATCTTGTAAAACCCATCAGTATAACTGCTGCTAATCCATCTTATTACATTATAATGATAGAGTTTACAACACATAAGGAAATCACATCAGATTACAGAATGGTACACAATCATACAATACTGGGTATCATGACCCAGCCAAGTTGACAGATATTTTCTAGGGACACAATTCAATCCATAATAGTTGGGGTGAACCATTTGGCTGTCAGCCCATGCTGGTCAGCCTTGGCTGCCCACCAGCAGGGGTGGTAGTGTCCAGGAGCAGGGCTGGGCCAGTGAAAATGAAGGTTATAGATGGGTTGTCCTCCTGGCTTGAGGCCTTTCAGGTGAGACTTCATTCCCACCCTTCCTGTTGCAGCACTGCTTTCCTGCTTCATGATCCTGATCTCCTGGACTTGTCCAGATCCCCTTATTTGCATGCCATCCCTTCCTTGCCCCTTTCTGCTGTCGCAGAAGGCTTAGACTCAATGTGGGAATTCCTGTGCTCACAAACTCCTCCTGGGCCTCTAACATTCCTGGCCTCGGACTTGATACTGCCCCATTTAACACGTTCCTCCTGTTGGGGATCCGACTCTTTCTGGCAGCCCTTCCCCTAAAAATCACTTTCTTCCAAGGTTCCTGTCACTTCCACAGCCAGGTGGTTTTTCCTTGCTGGCCTGAAGTTCAGAAACACACTCCTTTTGTTACCTCTCCTACCTTTTGAGACGTGATGTTGTTAGCAACGGAAGTCCAGGGTTTCTGAATCTCTCTCCCTGGGTATAGCTTCACCCCGTAACTGTGAGGTACCTACCCTTGCCAAGCCTCAGTGTGTGTATGCACAGAGCCATCATACATCTTTTATCAGGAAATCACCATGAAAGCACTCACTCTCTCAGAAAATGCTATCAGGTACATTTGCCCCTCTGGTGTCTCAGGCTGCAGGTAGACCTCTGCAGGTCAGGTGTTGCTCTGCAGGTTCTCACTGCATGCCAGGCTTGTTTTCCATCAGCTGACAAAGGCAAGGCACCAAGGGACAGAATAAAAGAATGATAATCTTCCTGTTTTCAAAAATCCTATTATCTGCTTGTTGAAAACAGACGCACATATGTGAAAGATGACTAAATATGCCAGGCAGTAAATGTAAAATGCCATCTGAGTTGAATGGACTACATATCCGACATGAGTTCAGAGGCAAGGCCAAGATCACTTCCAGCTGTGGTGTTCAAGGCAGGCTTCACAGAGGGAGATGCGCGTGCGAACTTGGCCTGAAGGGCAGGCTGCCTTAGGCTGGCAGGGAGAAAGGGTGATGGATGGGTACAGACATGGGGAAACACACCCACTTTAGGGATGGGAGGAAGAAATGCATGTTTTCTAAATGCATTGTTTTAAATACATTCTCTGCCTTTCTTATCTGAGTGAATTAGGGGCACCATGTGCAGTGACGGGGTGAGGGCTGGGTGGCCAGAGTCAGGGACTTTTCTGGGGGGAGGTGGGTGGGCTTGGAGCTGTGAGTCCTAGTGGATGCAGAGTGAGGGTCCTGAATAAGTTGTTTCAAAGTTCAGTTGTGGACAAGATAGTCAGAAACCTGCTCCAGCTGAATTCATAAATTTATTTCTGAACAAATAATGGTGAGTAAAATTAGCAGACATCTGGAAGAGGCACATATTTCAAAGTTATTTTGGTCTGATCTATAAAGCGCACTGTGAGGAATATGATTGGTAGCTGGTCTTAATAAACAGTTAGTGGGTTCTGCCTGCCTGAAATGCAAAACAGATGTATCTTTGTTCTTTTAAACTGACTTTGATGAATAAACTATATGTGACGTCAGGTCCAAGCTATTGGATTTCTGAGTCCGACTCGGAAATATTTTAGAATATAAAAAAGTTTCCATGGTCGACACCGAGAGAACAAAGTGAATTCCAGTTGCATTGCTGTTAGCATTGAAGCAGGTTCAGAAATTCAGAGACGCCTCCGTCCAGACAACCCCTGTCTGTGTTTGGGGGCATTGTTCCTCTCTGCTGCACCCGCCCATTGCACAGCTGTGAGCTCTGAGAGTGGTTGGTTCTCAGCTGTCACCATCAGGGCTATTTGGTGGTCATTATTGCTGTTTTGCATATTTGTACAAATGTCTCCTAAAAGAGCAGCATAGGAATCCTGCAGCAGCGACCCAGGGTCTGAGGACTGTGTGATGTTTCCATCTCCCCTAGTTTGCTTGGTTATGAATGGTGCGGGTTTTTTAATCAGCAGCATCTTGGCTTGGCTGGGTGTTTTTGGCAGACTGGCCCTCCAGTCGGCTCTGCGCTGTGCTCGGTGCATCAGGAAACCAGCTCACTCTGCAGGTGTTTCATCCATAAACAAGCATCAGCCACGGGCTCCTCTTTCTTTTTACGGAAACCCTTTGGAATTTAACTTTCAGATACAAATACTTGGAGCAATTGGCAGCCGAGGAGCATGAGAAGGAGCTGAGAAGCCGGAGTGTGAGCCGGGGTAGAGCTGACCTCTCCTTGGACCTGACCTCACCCGCAGCCCCTGCCTCCCCCGCCCCTCTGAGCCATAGCCCTTCATCTCTCGATGCACAAGAGGCTGTCACGGTACCATCCTCCTCCTTAGGAACACCTCAGCATCTCCAAGGTGAGTGCAGGGAGAGAAGAGGGAAAAGTGATGGATTAGCATCAGACAGGCTTCTTCTGTAACATAGTAATGATTCTTATGTGCAAACTAATACTGAAACAGCAAGTAAGGGTAAGTTTAGGGGTGACTTCTGCCTGTGTGTCACTCTTAAGAAATTTGGATCTCTTCAGAGCCGTTTGTATGAATGCAAAATTATTTATGCAGGCTGTCCATGTATGACCATTGATAAAGGAGAATATAGAAAATAGGACTTACTTTGACATTCAATCCTAAATCACAGAGTATTAACTTAGTACTTTATTATGTGGGTATGTGGATCTGCCCAACAAAGCCATCTTTTTTGAATGTTACTACCATAGGAACTGTCAGTCTGGTTTAAATTATATTGATGGAGAATAAAATTAATTAAAGCAAGCAAAGAAAAATGTTGACATTGTGAAAACAGAAGGTAAATATTGAAGAAGAAAAATATTAATCTAGTAAAAAAATTACTGGCACATGGTATGTGTGGGTGTGTGTATGCATGGTTCTGTGCAGACAGACAGACTCTTCCTGGCGAAATTCCCTGTCTTCTTAGCTTTATTTGGAGAAAAACAATATTGTCCACTGCAGCCTTCGCACATCAGCTGGTTGTCTGATTGCTCCGTGCGTTGTGGGTTCGCTTTCTTTTGTATCAGCACGGGGGATGGTTCTCGGACATGGGCTTCTACTCAGTGCTTGTTGATTCTCCCTGCAGCTATCACTGTTTGATTTAATCGAGTGTTATGACTTGCAGCCTGATGTACACTTAGCCAACAGAGGAAAACAGAGACACTACACTTTTAACTCTAGGAGTGTTGACTAAATATGGTGTAAAGTTTAATGTAAACAAGGGAAAAACTCAATGACCTCAGCAGAACTGGATGTAACGGAACGATAGTGTCTGTCTAACTCTTTGGCTCTCCAAGCCTCCGGGCTGGTTCCGCAGGAGCAGGCTGGCTCTACTACAGCTTTCCATCAGTCCAGTTACTCTAGTGCTCCAAGCCATGGAAGATTGTCCCCGGCAGATGGCTCAGTCACAGATGAGTAATAGTTGGTCTTAAAATTCTGAGACTCTGAGAATCAGAAAAACAGACTGTTGTATAAGAGCCCTGGGTTCCCAAACCCTGCCTCATATCATTGCTATATCTAAATCATGGTATTTCTAGAGCCAAATGAAAAATCTCCCCCTGCAAACTTGTGGTTCAGCACTTAATCTTGGAACTTTTAACTCTGAGAGTCGTACCTCCAGCAGTTCACAGAATGGTGGTCTAAACTGTGAAGTACAGAATAGCCCCAAGCAGAGAGGGAATTGTCAGCATCTGTAAGTATTGTTTTTCCTCAAATCTTTAATCTACTTGATGTTTGCTTGTGGCAAAGAGTTCCTCAAGTACTTCGTCCAGTCATAGTTGAACTGTATGCCACCCTGGTGGCACAGTGGTTAAGAACTCGGCTGCTAAGCAAAAGGTCAGCAGTTTGATCCACCAGCTGCTCCTTGGAAACCCTATGGGGCAGTTCTTCTCTGTCCTATAGGGTCGTTATGAGTCATAAACAACTTGACGGCAATGGGTTTGGTTTGGTTTTATGCAATTAAAAAGACAGGATATTTTCAACTTCAATAAGAAAGCCGATAGTAATTATTTTGTATATACACACTATACATTTGGGGAAATACAAAGTTATTTCTGTACACTTCCAGGAAGATAAATAGCAAATGTTTTTTTCCTTCAAAGAAGGGATTAATAGAGACTGAGAGAATGCTTGATTGATATCACTTAATAAATGATAACTGTAGCTGAAAAAGGAATACTAGGCTTGAATTTATACATATTTACAAATTAATATATAGCATGGTGTGATTTTCTTTGCTTTTTCCTGCAAAAAAAAGTAATAGCTTTTGTTGAAGGTTAAAGAGCTGTCCATCATATGTTAGGTAATTATGATCCCAATTAGTTGGAACCAGAAAAATGTTCTAACTCCCTTGTCCCAATACATGACTAAATTATAACACTGGAAATTATGTTGTTGTTGTTGTTGGGTGCTGTTGAGTCGGTTCCGACTCATAGTGACCCTATGTAACAGAGTAGAACTGCCCCATAGGGTTTTCTTGGCTGTAATCTTTATGGAAGCAAATCGCCCTATCTTTCTCCCGTGGAATCGCTGGATGGGTTCAAACCACCAACCTTTTGGTCAGCAGCTGAACTCTTAACCGTTTGCACCCCCAGGGCTCCTTTTTGGAAATTATAGATGTGTAAACAGAAATGCTCTAAGAGGATGGTCTCAGAAGAACTACTGAGACTTCCTTCTGGTTTAGAGAGCTTTACCTTATGGCAAAAATACAAAGTTAGGTATGACAGAAAGATTTTTCTCAGTTTAGTTTGCTAGTGTTCTTTGAAAGATTCCACTAGCATCCAATTAATAGTCTATTATTTCTACCTGGTGGTGCTGTGGTTGAGAGCTTGACTGCCAACTAAAAGGCTGACAGTTTGAACCCACCAGCTGCTCCCCAGGAGAAGGATGTGGCAGTCTGCTACCATAAAGATTTACAGCCTTGGAAGCCCTATGGGGCAGTTCTACCCTGTCCTACAGGGTCACTATGAGTTGGAATTGACTCAACGGCAATGGGTTTGGTTTTTTGTTTTTTTAGTTTCTACCAGATCCCATTTTCAAGTGTTCAAAGTAATTTTTTGCTTATCCCTAAGAGTTATAATGTCCCAACATCTGGAGGAAGAATAAAAAATATAATCACATATCCAGATGTCTGTCCTGCCCCAAACACCTGACATTATATAGTCCAAATGTGCCAGGGATTGACTCACTTTTTCACTCTTTATCCTTATGGAATTATGTGATAATAATACACCTCACATTTTTGTAATGGTTTGCCCACCAACCCTAAAAAAAGCTCCTATTTAATCCCTTGTCACTATATCTGAGTAAATAGGGGAGATGCAATTATCTATATTTCACTGAGTCTCAAAGACATTGGAAGATTTGCTGACAGTCTCGTGGGTGCAACGTTAAGAGTAGAACTCAGCCCTTTCACTCCCATTCCAGCCATTTATCATGAAATCATGGCACTGTGCTGTTTGTGGAAGTGTTCACAGTAATGTCACACTATCTCTATTGAATTATATATACCCCAGGACTAAAAGTCCATTTATGTGTTCTTTTATTAAAACTCCTTACTCAGATTCTGGAAAACTGTTAAAAGCACAAGACATGAAAACATTAGAAACTACATTTCCTTTTCCCTTACCCAAAATATATTTTAAAAGAAGGAAGGGCTAATAGTAAAATACCAATAACGTTATATGTCATCTAGTCAGTTCTTTCAGCCAAAAACATTCTCAGCTAAATCTGCTGTAACTTTTGTATAAATTACGCCACTACCCCCACCATCAAGTCAATGTGTGCTTGAATTATTTTTCCATCTGGCCCTCTTGTGGCTCACAGCAGATGTTTGTCCCAATACTGTGTGGACTCAGTGGTGATGGTCTGAGTATTTTTCCTCTGTGTGAAACTACCAGGCCCAACTGAGAAGCAGACATATACATGTGTTCTCGTTTGTACTGTACTCTAGTTAATGGAGATAATCAGTCCATAGTTTAGGTAAACATGGATGGGCCTCTCTCTTCATCCATTGCTTTGATTATCCTTATTCTTTCTCTAACTCCTGGTAGTAGATCTCCAAATATCTATCTAATAATTCCGTTTCCTGTTATTTAAAAAAACTCACAGACCACTCTAGAAACAAATAAGTAACTCTCACTAATCAGAAAAAATGTACAGTGTTCTTATTTGTCTCTCTATATAGAGATAGAGTTCTTTAATATGACTCTTGGGAAAGTTACTCTGAGGATTTGGTGTGAATGATTTGCACTTGACTACTAACCTAAAGGTCGGCATGTTGAACCCACCCAACAGTGCCATGGAAGAAAGGCCTGGCAATCTGCTTCTGTAAAGGTTACAGCCAAGAAAACCCTGTGGAGCAGTTCTACTGTGTAACATATGGAATCAACTCAATGGCAATGGGTTTAGTTTTTTTTATTTTTTATGTGCCTGTAAGTGAAATCAATATATCAGGGTAACCTATTATCACAGTATCAGATCCAGGTAACTTATATCATGGAAATAAAGTGAAAAAAACTACTCACTTGAAAACCAGATGTTGATGGTGGTCTGAAGATGTCCCAGTGTAGACCTGCTTTCTATAGTGGGCTGGACGTGTGTTCTCTCTTTGCTCCCTCCCTTTCACATGTGAGTCTTCCCTGAGGCTGGGTGAGAGAATGACTTTCCCGTAGAAGGAAGCTTCTGTCAAGAGCTTACTAGTGGCTTTTACTCACTAGCCTAGCCATGAGCGCATACATAATGGCTAGGTTATTTTTCTTAAATTTAGTACTATATTCTCCATATTGCACACAGAAATAATGCTTTAGAGATACGTTTGAAAATTTTGCCACACTGTATTAATTTTATGTCAGGGAAAAATATGTTCAATGGTGATTATTTTTTTTCCCTGTAATTGAATTCGTAGGCATTTCCAAATGTCTCATTGTTTAGCCCTGGAGGTATAAAATGTGGCCTGTATGGCATGGCCTACTCACCAACATTCACCTTGTGGCATTTACAGGAATTACTGACATGGTACACTGATATTTCTTCTTCCATATCCAAGCATTTAAAGTGCTGACAAATATAGCCATTCCTCTGACCTTCTGATCCTCAAACCTGGCTAAAGTGTAGACATATATCATGAAGTGCTCAGTTCATTTAAATGAATAATCATTTTTCATGTAGGTATCCACTCCTTATCATGACTGTCATCATTGTTACCAATCCTTGACTGAGCATCTTTGTCGCCTTTGTTGTATAACATATTTTGAGTCTCCTTCTGATGTAGACACTCTCCTATGTTACCTAATCCACATGGCAGAAATCAGAAACATCTGGGATCCTATTTCCAGCTGGCATAGTAGCAA